GTTCTTGGGTTCAAGAATGGCTCCATTTGGAGCTACTGTTGGGATCCCAAGTGAAAATCACAGCACTTCTCCCCATGCATTTGTTGGCAAGCCTCAGCACCCACATTCTAAAGTGGACGAAAAGATGGACCTTTATCAACATCTGTTCAAAGGCTCACTTTAGAAGTGCAGTGTCCCTGACTCTACAATTGGATTCATGACAATACCGCCATTTTTTAATACTCTTACTTGTTCCAAGTAACCTCCTCCCACACCAGGTAGGTACCTCAGATTCTTCATATTGGCAACACTGAATGCTACTTCTTTGTTAGAGCATTTCATTTAATTGCTTAAAAATCTGCAAGTGTAGACCACATTCTAGCATTGCTAAAAATAAAATTCAACATGTTAACAGAAGATAAGGGAGTGAAGTTATGCTACATTATATATATATTTTTAATTGAAAGTTGCCTCCACAGAAGAAATGATACTGTAAACATGCATTATTAGAAAGATTTTGTTAGGTTTCTGATGTCCTCCAGTATTTTAAAATTTTTATACGTTCTGTCATGAATTAAATGAAGTAATTAATGACCTGCAGACAATGGTTAATAATATTTCAGTATCTCATTGTTTATTAGGGAGTGCTGGTGGCTTAGTAGTAAGGAATTGCAGCACCATTGCAAGGGTATGCAGTTCGAATCCACCAGCTGCTCTGCAAGGAGGAAGGGCAGTCTCTTCCCATGTGATTTACGGCCTCTGAAAACCCGCTAGAGGATCAGCTTTGGTCAGTTTCAACTAAATAGTAGACAACAACATTGTTTATTAGATTCTGAATTATTGAGCAATTCCAAATGTGAAGTTTCAGCTGGCTTCTTTGCGGAAAGTGACAAGCTGATTCTAAATTCATATGGAAATTCAGAGGTCTCAGAATAGGCAAAATAATCTTGAAAAGAATAGAGGTAAAAAGTTCATACTTCCTGATTTCAGAATTTACCATTAAGCTGCAGTAGTCAAGAGAGTGTTGATTGTACTGGAATAAGGATAGAAATGGACTAGAATTGAGAGTCCAGAAGGGCTCTCAGTGTACAATTTACATTTACAATCAATTGACTTATAACAAGGGTACAAAGATCATTCACGGAGAAAGAGTAGTATTTTCAAAAAATGATGCTGGGCAAAGTAGAAATCCACATACAAAAGAGTTGTATCCATACCTCAGGCCATGTTAAAAAATTAACTCAGAAATGATCACAGGTATAAAATGTTAGAGCTAAAACAATAGAACTCTTAGAAAAAAACAGAGCTAAATCAAATCTCCATGACCTTGGGTTAGCCAGTCATTTCTTCAGATATGGCACCAAAAGCATAAGCAACAACAACAAAAGAAAAGATAAATTGGACTTCATCAAAATTGACAATGTTTGTGCTTCTGAGAGAGGACGCCAAGAAAGTGAAATGGAAATTGACGGAATGGCAGGGGCAGGGGTGTGGAGTGGTGAATATTTTCAAATCAGCTAAGTCTTAGGGAACTTGAAACCCAGGACATATAAATAATTCTTGAAATCCATAGATAAATAAATCATTCCGTTGAAAAATGGGCAGAGGATCTGAATAGACAGTTCTCCAAAGAAGAGAAATGGCCAGTGAGCACATGAAAAGATGTTGAGGATCATTAGTCATTAAGGAAATGCAGCTCCAAACCACACCAAGAAACCACTTCTTACCCACTCTGGCTCTCTCATTGCTGTCCATTCAGAACCAACTGTGGGCTGACCCTCCTTTGAGTGTCTTAGGCTTTGAGTCTCACAGGAGAAAGGTTCCTATCTTTCTCCCACTCCTCACCACTAAAATGACCATAATCAATTTTTTTCAAAAAAAAGACTGCTGATACAGATGTAGGGAAATTGGAACATTCTATACCACTGATGGGAATATAAAATGGTTCGGCCACCTTATAAAAACAGTGTCAAACTTCCTCACAATTTGAAATGCAGAATTACTGTAAGATCCAGTAATTCCACTTAGGGACATGCTGAAAGAAATCAAACCACCCACACAGAAATTTTTATCGAATTATTCATGATAGTCACAAAGTGAGAACAACCTGGGTAAACAAAATGTTCCATACACATACAATGGAAAATACCTACTTTTCACTTACAGACATGGTTCAGTTCCAAAGATCAGGCTGTTAGGCGGAAATCAGCATTGTGTGAAAACATGGGGAATGATTACATCAGATCACAAAGCGGAGGTTGGCTGCATGATTATATCACTGCCAAACCACTGAGAATTATGGCCCAACCAAGTTGCCACATAAAATAAAACATTAAAGGGGAGCTCTGGTGGCCTAGTGGTAAGGAGCTGCAACTACAATCCCAGAGGTGCACGGTTCAAATCCACCAGATGCTCTGCCGGGGAAGGAGGGACAATCTCCTCCTGTACCAGTCAGATCTGATTTGACGGTACACTCACACAAAAATAATAAAATTTTTTTAAAAAAATAAAACATTATATCTCACCCACAACCGTGGTCTTCGTTGCTGTCAGATGTATGTTGTTAATGTGCAAAGTAGTCACACAGGAGATTTTTTTTTTTTGCTATTGTTGTAAATGCCAAATGTCAGATAATGAAATTGTTGATAAGTGAGGAGTAGGTGTGTAATTCAGCTGTACAACAGAATGAAAGTGCTGAGACTTGCCCTGACTTGGGAGAACCTTGAAAAACATTATGCTTAAGTGCAATAAGCCCAGACACAAAGGACCACACATTTTAGGATTTGATTTATATGACTGTCCAGGACAGGCAAATCTATACAGATCAAAAGTAGATTAGTGGTTGCCAGGGTGTGGGGGAATGGGACAGATGGAGGATGAGAATGATTGCTAACGGCTATGAGATTTCTTCTTGGGACGATGAAAATGTTCAAAATTCAATTGTGGTGATAGTTGCACAATGCTGTGAATATCCTAAAAGCCATTGCCTTGTACTCTTTAACTGGGTGAATTGTATGGTATGTGAATTTTATCTCAATAAAGCTGTTAGAAAACAACATTTTCCAGCCGGAACAATTCTTTGGCAGGCCTCTCCCTTTTCCTCCCACTGCTTTATTCTTGCCTTTTTTTTGTTTCCTTAGACACTACTCTTCTTTCCCTTGTCTGATGTGCCCTTTGTAAAAATCCTCGGCTCTAAGGTTGTTACCACCGTTTTCTCTTGACAACCCAAGCCACAGTAGGGTGGCTTTAGTGGTAAGGAATTGTGTTGCCAAGCTAAAGACATGCAGTTCAAATCCACCAGCTACACTGTGGGAGAAAGATGGGCAATCTCGTCTCATGCAATTTACTGCCTCTGCAAGCTTGCTGGAGGGTCAGCTGTGGGTCAATTCTGAATTGATGATACTCAACAACAATTACAATTACTGCCATTTTGGCAAGCCAAACCATAATAAAAGTTTAGTTTCGCTTCGCCAATAAAGACTTCCATTGAGGCGTTCTGTCACATAGATTTGTCCATGAGTCCTAAGGCCAGCAATGGATATTTTCCCTACCCCAAAGTGATGGATTTCTATTTGAGAGAAGATTGAAACTTCCTGCCAAGGAAGCATTTTTCTAGATTCAAGTATCCGGCATGGGACGAGCAAGAGGCTAGTTGAATAGGAGGTGCTTTGGGCCTTGGAGGAGGCTGCCGGTTCACAGAGATGGGAATTGGAATGTCCAGGGTGCTAATAATGGAACTCAGAGAAATGAGGTACCAGCAAAGGTTGCTTCGCAGCCAGACCAGGCCTGTCTTTGGGTTCCCAGTTGCCTTTGGGAGATTCTTAGCCTCTGCTCCCATCCCCACTTAGCTCCCGTGGCCCCTGTACATCTGCTCACTCCCCTGGACAGTCTCGGGCTTAACTTGGAGTAACAACAGAAACAGACAAACCCCTGCATATTAATGAGGCTGCTCCTGGCCAGGAGCATCCTTGCTAGAGAGATCACAAGCATCAAGAGCTGGTGGGTCAGTACATTGAAAGGCTGGGGGCGGGGGGGGGCAGAAGAAGTTAGAGGGCTAGATTCTTAGGGAGTGCTACATCATCTTCCTTTTCATGAGGTGGGGCCTGATCACTCTCTGCAAAGCATAGGCTCCCTCCTGTGAAAGCACCTGGGCCAAATGTTTTCCAGACACACTAGGCTTGTTGAAAAGTGGTAGTCAAAGAAAAGTCCAGTGTTTTCTAGTCATTTAGAATCAGAAAAGATCTGGTCCCTAAATACAAGGGAAGTTGGCTGCTTTGCCCTGAATGGGGACCACAGCCCTAGATAGTTTGGAGAGTAGAGCTATGTGCCAGGCAAGCTTTGAATCCTTCCCAGTGTGTAGATGTGCGGGGATGGAGGCCAAACCCTGGCACAGGATGAAGACTCAGGATTGGAGACTCCGCTGCCTGGGACCAAACGGGCATCGAGTGACTCTCCGGAAACTGGGACAGCACACGCCTCTTCCCTGATCACCTTCGAAACTTTCTACTCTGTGTTTCCGGGGCTCTAAAATATGCTTAGGCCATGAAGCGAATGAAAATCAAAACTAGGAGAAACGGCGAGCTTGCTCCCCTTGGCATTCAAAGCAAAGCCTTAGGAAACTGTGTCTGTTTTGAATGTGGGAAAGCAAAAGAATTTTCCAATTCTCAGGGCTGCTTTGTGTTCCCCTGGGACTACACCTTTCACACTGTCACCGAGACAAAGACCGAGAGTAGCAAATTGCCCCTGCTACTTATGCTTTTGTAAGAAAATGGTTTCTAGGGACATTCTCTTTGTTCTGATTTTCTTTGGCCCTGAGTGGGAAATAACTTCGAGTTTTTTTCCTTTCTCCTTTCATTGAAATTGGAAACAGTATCTTTTTAGAAACCAAATATTCTCTACCCAGCTTTGCTTTTAAAAGTGCTTGTCAAATAGAGCCCTGTCTGTGGGTCTCAGTGGGCGGCAGGGTGGCCTCCCCAGGAGACCTGGGCCCCCCAGCAGGCGCAGAGCCGAGGCGGGCGGCATTAGGCACATTTACTGACGCACTCCAGCAGCTCCATCCGGATGGCGATGCGGACGTGCCAGCCCAGCGGGATCAGCCGGATGAAGCGGGAGATGATGGGGGGCCGGAGCAGGTTCTGGACTGTGGAGGTGCGGTCGGAATTTCCATAGAAGACCTAAAGGCAGGCAGAAAACTCTGTCACCACATCCGGGTAGAGGAAAGAGTGTTTCCTGTCTAGAGCTGGCCTCCACTCTAAGCTCCAGTGCCAGATCTTAGCAAGTGAAAGCCCACAGAATTGGCAACCTACACTCCCTTGGTTGTGGAGTCTCATCCGACCCATAGTAACCCTACAGGACAGAGTGGAGCTGCCTTATAGTGTTTCCAAGGCTGGCTGAAAGCTGACAGAGCAAATTAGCTTCCCAGTCACCATTGTGTCCACATTTTGGCTAGTGGTGTTAGGCCCGATCCAATGGTGTAACAGTGCTCTTTGCACTTTTTGCTCCTTCCCTGCCCTTCTTTCCTGCCACTTCTTGCCTTCTGGGCTCTGCTTTGGGGCAAATCCTACCCTTTTGGTTTCATGTGGCTGAAGATTCTGAGAAGTACCTTCCTCGCCTATATTATTGTTCGCTCTACAGGGCTATCTGTTGTTTGGCTGCGAGGTGGACTCAGGGCCAGGCTGGAAGGGGCATCTGAAGGCCACGGCCCTTAGATTCCAGGTAGTCTCTATCAGACCAGTAAGCCTGGTCGTTTTTGTGATTTTGAATTTCATGTGCCTTTTTTTCTCCCTCATTCTGTCTGAGACTTCCTGCTCTGATCCCGATCAGAGTGGTCATCATGGCCGCTGCACACGCCTCAGTCCACTGCCAGGGGGGTGAAGGCCGTGTTCCGCATGGCCCGTGAGACCTTCGGAGCAGTTGTTTACCTCAATCTTAGTGTTGTTGTTGGTTTCCACTCTCCTTTGCTCCAGATAAGAATGGGCCATTAGTTGCACCTTAAATTATTGCCTCCCCCCCCAGCTTCTAAGACTCCAGTGGATGCTCACCTAAACAGGATGAATGCCAGTGTTCTTGGTGGATTGTTAGGCCAGTTGACCGAGATGTCCCAGGACACTGTGATCTTAAGCCTCCAATGTCAGTGATTCATTCCTTCAAAGTGTCTGCCTGTAGCTATGAACAATGCTCTACTACATCCAGGGGTATATTCACATATATAAATGCATATTCACATGTGTAAGTGCCTATGTAGATAGATCCTCTGCCCAACCTATATATACACTTGTGGGTGTACTCCTTTTGCATTCCCATATCTCATTGCCACATCTTTCTCATGTAGAGTGGCCGATGGGTTTGATCCACAGACCTTTCAGTTACCAGCCTAGCACTTAACCATGGTGCCATCAGGGCTTCTCTGGGGAATTTGCAGATCTGACCTTGAATTATTGTCATGCCCTCCATGCTTAAAGCATGCCTGAGAAATTTCTAGAACTGCAGCTTCCAGTGTGGTAGCCACTGCCACATGTAGCTATTAAAGTTTAAATGAATGCAAGTGGAATAAAAATTCACCCTTCCTCATCACACTAGTCATATATACTCTGAAGTACATGTGACTTGTGGCTGCCATATTGGTCAGTGCACAGAAGGAGTTTCTCATCATTCTAGAAAGTTCTATTGATGGCACCAATAGAAAACACTTTTGCACTCTCGCCAATTTGTTCTTTTATTCCTTGCATTTGAACAAGAAGCCTTGAAAAGTCTTGTGTTACAGTCATGAGAGGTTAAAAAGGGATTTGAAGTGGGGCTCAAGTAAAAACTCTTGAGTTGGTTCTGAAGTTGCGAGCTAGAGTTTTAAGTGTGTCCCTGCATCCATATAAATGGCAAGTACATTTTAGGCTTAGGGAGGAAAATGACTTTTAAGAAGCTACAGAGAAAATGCTGGAAAGCAAGAGGCAGTTCTCAGAGCAGAAAGAAAGGATTTGCTTGGGCTTGGGCATGACATAAAATGGTGCCAATGTTGTAACTCAAGAGCCAGGGATTCTGGAATTTGTTTTTAAAGAAAACAGTTGCTCTTTGCACTCTGCAGAGTTGCCATGCTCTGCCTAATGACACCGGGACATTTCATATCCTTCTGAGACTATCTCCTGTAAAAATCTGGTCTGGTCACAACATTGGCCTCATTCATCCACAGAACAAGAAGGCCCTTATCAGCCATGGTCTTGTCTTCTTGCCCCCCCCACCCCCACCCCCACCCCATAGCACTACTCGTGCCCCTCTAGCCATTTGGTCCTCAGCCCACTTAAGTCCGGAGGCAGGTGAAGAGGGGAGGGTGGAACTGGCTCCTCTCAACTTCACAAGGCCCAGGAGGAAGTACCTGGTTGCAAATGGCTGAGGCCTCCAGAAAAACAGATAGGGCTTCAAAAAGAAGCCTAAGTGGCTTTTTAAAAAGTCAACTAATAAGATAAAAAAATGAAATGAGAATTCCAAGTATCAAGATGGTTCTTCCTACTGTGTTCGAACTCCAAAGCTTCACCCATATATATGTCTTGCTACACAGATTGCCATCAGAGACTACAGAGCTTTCCGTCAGTCAGCTGCGTGTGTCTGTTTAAGCCAGCTAAGCGTCCACAGTAGGCTGGGGAAGTCCTTGTACTTAGGCAAAAGGATGGTTTAACATATCTAAGCAAATATTGAGTTTTAAATTTGTTATTCTTTCTCTGTGTGTGTGTATAAGACATATAAACTGAAGGCCACTGAGTAAGAATTGACTCAGAGCTGACTCTCCATTGGGTTTCCAAGGTTGCAAATTGCATGAGAGGAGATTGACCACAAATAAAGCTGCGCAAAAATTGAAGACAGCTTCATTTCAGGCTTAAAGGCTCTTAAATGCATCCCTGCATCTGCCCTGGCTTTCCATCATTCACATAGCTAAGTGGCTGCCATTCTGTCTCAATCACTAGGACATCAGATCCTATCAGGTCATAGGACATGGACAGTTATGACCTACTTGCATCAACAACACATAAAGTGAGATCCAAGAAACAAAGACTAGTCCGTGATCCAGTGAGTTTGGGACAGTCTAAATAGCCAGTCGTGAGTGTTCAAGCAACCATCGCTGGTGGGCTAGTAGGTAAGGAGTTGTGCTGCCGACCCAAAGAAAGGCAGTTCAAATCCATCAGCTACCCCTCTAGAAGAAGATGAACAATTTCTTCTTCTTGATTTACAGCCTCTGGAAATCCACTGAAGGATCAGCTATGAGTCAGTTCCAACTTGGCCAACAATAAGTTGGTTGGAATTGGTTGATCTTCTGATAGAAGAATGTCGACATAGTTTATTGGCACATAAGAGTGGCCAACAAGTTGCACCAGGTACCAAGGATACAAGCAAAGATCCCTGGTGTGCCCACTGAGAGAGACAGAATGCTGAGAAAGAAGCACATTTGGGCCACCATGATGTGGAGCAGTGCCCTGAGGGAGTGGGCAAGGGCACAGGGAAGGGAGGGCCCATGATGGAGGGTTGGCATGCAGGCTTGACTTACCCGGTTGTTTCCAGTCTGGTCCTTATAATAAATCCAGTTCAGGTTCTCATCGGTCCTGTATTGCACACTGTACTTGGTCATCCACTCATCGATGTCACAGCGTCCCTGGGTGAGGATCCCCGAAATCACCTTGATCTCCTTCAGATCAATTTGTAACCACTGGCTGCTGTCTTGGAACTTTGAGAGCCAGGCACACCTGCCAGGAACACACCACCATCACCAGGAGCCCTTCCCAGGCACTCCTCCCTGGGCCTGGAGGCACCACCTCCCAGAGCTTAGCTCAGATCTCCTCTTTTTCCCTGAATCTGCACCTCTCTGAGAGCTAGATTCAATTAAGGCAGTGAAATGGCTTCAAGCATAGCTGTGAACATACGGTTATTGGACCCAGCAGCCCCCTACCCTGTTGATTAGTGTCTCCTAATGACTTTCTCTTCTCACAAGTGTTTCTATTTTGTTCTCTTCAGACATATCTGAGTTTTTTGATACTATCATCCTTGCCATTCAGAGAATGTCTACCAAGGGCACACCCTGAACCACTTGCTTCTGGAAGGGCTTTCTGTCATTGAAAGGCAAAATAACTTATTTTTAATTTCGCTTTCTCTCTCATAATTTGTGGGAATCTATGGTTTCTCTTCTAGTTTGTTTGGGTTGTGGGGTTGGGTTTTTTTCTTCTTCTTCTTCTTTTACTGAGAAGTAGTTTATTAGGACTCAGTCCCTGACTGCCTTCTCTGCATATTCTGAACTTGCTCACGGGGTAGCTCCTGACTTGTGGCTGCTCTCTCAGGCCTGTCTTAGAATTTCAAATCCAGAGAGCCATGTGCCTGTTAGATTACAACTCCTAGATGACTTCCGGCATTGCAACTGAAACATGTCTCCTTAAGTGAGCTCCTAGCCACCTCGATCCCAAGCCCCACCTCCAGTGCCCCCTGTAAATAGTACTCCCATCCTCCCGGCTGTGGCCAGCTGAGAGCCATACTTGACCTCTTGTCTCTTCAATACTCAATGCAACAATTGGCTCCATCTCCAAATATTTCTCAAGTGGATCTCTTCTGTTTTCACTGCCACCACTCAAGCCCACATCACTCTCAAAGTCTTGCCTGCACTACTGCCATAGCTTAACTAATCTCCCTTGTATTATCTCTAATCTCTCTTCCCCCAACAACTAACTCTTCCCACAAGAGCCAGAGCAATTTTCTTTGTAAAAAAATTGTATTATTGTGTGTGTGTGTGTGTGTGTGTGTGTGTGTGTACCGTCAAATCGGATCTGACTGGTACAGGAGGAGATTGCCCCTCCTTCTCCAGCAGAGCATCTGGTGGATTCGAACCATCCACCTCTGGGATTGCAGTGCAGCTTCTTGCCACTAGGCCACCTGAACACCCTCAGAACATTTTTCTTAAAACAAAAGTCTGAAGCTGATACTCAACAACTTAAAACATTCATCTGGCAGAGGCTACTAATTGTCTCCCCTTAACTATTTTCCCCATTTTCTTTTTAAAAGCCCTGCTTTTCAGTTGGGCAAATAGCTTACCCGAGACTACATTTCCCAACTGACATTGCAGCTCACTACAGTCTTCTGACAAAAATCTGACCAGTGGAATGTGAGCAGAAATGATGTATTGGCTATGCTCAGGTCCTTAAGGGAAATGGATGTTCACTCTGCTTTCCATTTTTGTCTCCCTACTAACTAAAATATGGATGTGATGACAGAACCTGGAGGAGCCGTCTTGGGCTCCAAGATGGAAGGTTTAGGTTAAAGATAACAGAATAATACATAGGAAGAACCAGGGCCCCTGATACCTTTAAGCTGCTGAAATAACTCTAGAGTGCTTACTGAAACTTTTGAAGTTAACAGGAAGTGTATTTCCTCATTGTTTAAGTTTTACTGTACTTTGGGACTCTGTTATAGCAGCAAAAACATGTATTTGGACCAATGCACCTTCAGGGTTCGGTTCCCCCATTATCTGTAAGTAAGGACCACACTCATGATAAGTTCTTGTTAGGCTCTGCACGATCAGACTTCCTTCTGCTGACTCTGCTCGCCGCACATCACCCGTGCTGTAGCCTCATTGGCCTTTCTCTTCCATCCACTTGAGGCAGTCTCCCAACTCAGAGCCTTTGCACGTGCTAACCCTCTGCATCTTCCCTACCCTCCCTTGGCACCAACTCCAAGTCTTTTCCCTTCAAGGCCTTCCCTGGTGCTTCAAATGGATGAGCTCACTCTTCCTTCTTCCTCTCCTCCACCACCCTTAACGAAAAAATTAGTTGGGTCACTATGGGCTTACAACTCCTCTGTACCTCTAACTGGTGTGCTTCTTAAGACTTCACAATCTCATTCAGTGCCCATATCCACACTAGTTGGCCTGTGGAAGGCACTGGAATTTAAAAATAAAATAAAGTCAATGCCTTTCATTAAAAAAAAAATCATCAACTGAGTTACCCGGAGTGCTTACCCAAAGCCTTGACTGTTGAGACGGGCCTTGTTTGCAGTCCACGAGGAATACCAGCCAATGTACTGCTCTGGGTTGGAGCAGCTGATCTGGTCTGGTGTAACCTCTCCAGATTCAAAACCCAGGGGTTTATGATATGGGCATTCTGGGGAAAGGGAGACAGAAGAACGTTAAAACACTCAAATATCTCAGCAGACACAGGAAGGCAGGACTGCTGCGACAAACCATCTTATTTGCACTTTTGAAAGTGTACCTGTTGAAGGCAAGCGAAGGTCTTGAACCTGTTCACTGCTCATAAAAGAGGATTGCGGAGATGACATCAAGGCCTTAGCTTTCCAGCCTTAAACAGGGTCAAGAACTCCAGAGGGAGGGGTTCTAGGGAAGCCTTCACTTCGAGACCTGAAAGCCAAGGGATCAGTGACAAAATATCATATTCAAATGCCACCCATCTTGGTTTTCTTTGTCAACACAGGACTAGCCATCCTGCATGATGTCACAAGGTCCCTAACTGGCATTGGGGAGTATAGGATGCCAATGACAGGATCATATAAGAGGGGCAATTATATACTGAGACTGATTTCCCACTTGTAAATTGCAGTTTTCTCACCAGTCAAATAAAGAAGGGAGTGGAACGTGGCTGAGTGACTGCTGAATGGGAATGGTTAAAGGGAACTGCTTTCTCCAAATAAGAATAGCCAAAGCTGGTTATTATTGCTAACTGCCTACTGCTTCTCGTGTATTTCCTCTGAGGCTGACAACATTGTTGAATTACCTGGCCAGAGACTTCCAGCAGCCAACCTGGTATTTATTCTCCTCTTTTTGACCAAAGAACCCTAATTCTGTTGAGGGTAACACTCTGGTCAATTCAAGTGCTGTATTTCCCAGCCTCCTTTACAGTTGGAAGTGCCGAAGGACACAATTTCTCACCAGTAAGACATAAGACAGTATCTCCTAGGGATTTCTGGTCCGGTGTTGCTCGTGCCCTCATTCCTCTCATTGCTTAAAACCTCATGGCTGGAGCAGTGGTAACCACTTTGCACCGTGAGTATAGGGTCAAGAGAACTCCAGAACCCTATGCTCTTCTATCCTCAAGCATTTCTCTGCCTCCAGTCTTTATAACCTTTAACTGTGAAAGTCAAACAAAATCCCCAATTCAGTAAGCCCCTCTCCAGGCACCCCTTTACTAGGCAAAGCCAGTTCCTCACTGAATGTCTGTAGAAAACAAATATGAAAGCCATGCAAATACATTTTCCTAGCTTTCTGATTATGAGTGATAAACTCCAGATAAAGACAGTCAAATTGCTTTTTCTTCCATGTGTAAATTAGTGTTCAGATTGAAAAGCTGAGCATATTTACTGGGGCATCATCACCTTTCAAAGTAAAATGAGCGCTGGCATCTTTCCGGACGATAATTTATTTTTTTCCAAAGTGGAATGACGCAGGCAAAAGCTTGAAAGCTACCCCATGACACCAGAGGGCCTGCAGGGACAGTCGTTACCTGTCCCCAGAGTCTGAGGACAAGACAGCTTCAGGCTAGTGCCCAGGGAGCTAGATTTTCTACCCCAACACACAGACAAAATAGACTAGCTCCTACTAGTGTGTGCAGCTCAGTGGGGCTGAAGGGGAGGTGGGGGACTGCATTTGCACTGTATCAAGTGCCCAAGATGGAGGAAGTCCCTTCAAATAATATCTCTTCCTGGGAGAGAGAGAGAGCACAGAAGTGCTACTAAGCCCATGTGACTGAGTCCTCTGGAGCTAGTTGAGAATATCATTTCCAGGAGTCCACCCCCAGAGCATCTGCACTGTAACAAGTACACTTTCAAAGAAAGCACACTTTGAACCTCTTGGCCTGCTAGGGAAGGCATTTTGCTGGCTGGCAGATTCAGAAGGGTGGGTGCCCCAAGAACTTGGCAACTCCAGTACCTCAGCTCATCTGAAGCCCCCAAAACAGGCCCAAGAACTTTGTCATTTTGTCATTTGGCCTGTGGCCTTCCTTTAACTTCACATTCCTAATCTGTGGCATTCTAAGCAGTGATGTCTCAAGGCTTCCTTCAGCTCTAGCTTTTGATGACCAACTGCTGTCATTCTTTTTGGTTTGACTTGATGGTAGGGGCTTGGAGTTTTGGGGCCTTTATAGCACCATGGTCACTCATCTTGAGGGAGGGGCCAGAAAAGCTGTTACTTGATTCCTGTATTTCACAGGCCCTCCCTTTTGTGTTCCCTTCCATTCGCTTCACAGTGAGCCCCCCCCCCCGTGGCTCTGTACAGGCTGCGGGCCAGTGGGGACAGTGGCTTGGTGGCAGCAGCCTGGGAGGCATGTGAAGGCTTGTCCCAGAGTCTCTCTGTGCAGTCCTATGATCTGCTTGTCCAGACGTGGCCCTTCACATTCTCTCCAGGGGAGGCCAAGAGTTTATAGTCCCCATGGTTACAGCCAGGGCCTGGGGACCAGGGCTTGATGCCCAGACCGCACGCCTCACCCCACTGACCCCTAAGTTTGCACTTGGATAATGCCATCTGTCCCAAGCTGAGCCCTTCATCATCTTGCCACTGCTCTGGCTCGTGGGCTAGTGGTTATCACAGGTTACAAAGCATGGGCTCAAGTGCTGAGTCTCAGCCTTGACTGCACCCTGAAATCACATGGCCACGCCACAACCCCCAGAGAATCTGACTCAGTTGGGCTGCAGGGAGGCCTGGACCGGCAGATAAAGCTGCAGGTGATTGCAATGGTCCACCAAGATCGGAAACTACTGCTTAGTGACAGAGAAACTTGGGTGAGCTCGAGCAAGCTACTTCACCTCTCTGTCAGTCTCTCAGCTGTGAAATGGTCATGACAGCGGCATCTGGCTCCATAGAGGTCCCCTGAGATTCAATGAATAGTGTTGGTAGAGTACTTAGCATGTGCCTGACCAAAACGCAGCAGCTGATCTGAGGAGATCCTGATGTTGGCTTGAGTTCTGTGTGCTTGTTCTTCTAGCAAAGATGTGCTAGAAGTTTAAAGTCCCTCTGCCTTTCCCCGGACTGTCCCCACATCACCCCTAAGACTGCCTCCAAAGAAGGCCAGCCTCCTGATTCTAAAGGTTTGGGGTCATTTTGCTCCAAGAAAGAATAAACACTGTCTAAGCGAGGAGAGGGCCAAGAGAGGAGAAGCATCGTGCCTGGCATCGCTGAGGCCTGTGGATGTGGGTAGTTCGTGGTTCAGATCTGCCAGGGTTCGTCAGGAAAAGGATGACCAGTCTCCTCTCCTTAACATTAACCACACCACAGAAGCCTGAGGGAGGGTCACTGCGAGTTGGAACTGACTCCGAGGCAGTGACTTTGAGTCTCCACAAAGGAGACTTGGTGGTGCAGTGGTGAGGAGCTCAGCAGCTGACCAGAAGGCTGGCGGTTCCAACCCATCAAGCACTCCATGAGAGAACGATGTGGAAGTCAGCTTGAATACAGATCTAGAAGCGCGGAAAGCCCGTGGGGCAGTTCTCCTCTGTCCTCCAGGGTCGCTGCGAGGCAGAATTGGCTCAACAGCAACCTCAACACCTCGCTGCCATCGACCTGCCTCCTAGCTGACCCCAAAAAGGGCTTCAGAGGCTATAAATCACATGAGAGCAGATTGCCTGCCGTTCTCCAGAGGAGCTGTTGGTGGATTCGAACCGCCGTCAAAGTGTGGTCTTTGGGTGAGTAGCGCAGCTCCCTAGGGACTATGCCACCAGAACAATAGGTTTCTTTTTTTTTTGTTTAAGTCCTAGAATGGGGGCTAGAGATATGTTGCCGAGGAGGCCTAAGAGCCCCAGCTAAGTGACAGGAGGGAGACGTGGTAGAGGCCCGAGTTCCGCCGGAAGTTGTTCCCCTGAGGGAGCTGGAATATGGATGGGGTCCTAGAGCACTGAGAAGGGGATCTCACAGGAAACTTGGCCAAAATGAAGAGCCACCAGGCTATCTTTGAACAGCCTGGTGGCCTGCGGAGCCTGGCAACAGAGCTCTCCATTGCAAACACATTGGGGTGGGATTGTGTGATCAGGCCCAAAGGGCAGAAGAAGAAACTTCAGAACTCTTCTCTTGAGACTCTTCACAAGCAAGGGACAACTAAAAGTGCCCATTTATTGACTTAATTTACCACCGCTGGCTGTTTCCTCATCTACTAAATCCCCTTTAGCCCCTTTCTGCCTTTCCTACAGTCCCCACCCGAAAGTGGAGTCCTGAAGGCCCCGTGACTGGTCACCTCTGTTCTACACAACTGATCCAGAGGCCTTTCTGAAGGCAGTTTCCCTGCTTCAGGTCATAGAGCAATGACCCTCTGCTCTCATGTACAGTGAATACTAACAAAGGCCCACAGGGCCCTTCAGGACTCGGTCTGTCCCCTCACTCCTCTCCTCCTGAACTCTGTGACCTTTCTGGGAGGCTGTTTCCAGCCTTGCTGTCGCTTCTGCCCGTGACAGTCTCTCCTCCCCATCTCCACTCATCTTTCATTCACATCTCTGCCTCCTCTCCCTGCCAACCTGAGTTGGGCAAGGGTCTCCTGGGGACCCCTCAACTGTCCTGTCATCACTTTGTTTACTCACTCACTGCCATCAAGTAAGAACTGACCAATAGGTGACCCTCCAGCGGGTTCTCAGAAGCAGTAAATTGCACCGGAGGAGATTGCCCATTCTCCTTCTGCAGAGGGGCTAGTGGCCTTGAACCCTGTGCCTTTGGGTTGGTGACACAGCTCCTTCCCCAGCACTCCTTATTGTGAGGACATTGTTGTCAACTTCCCCTGTCTATTTTTTTCTTGCCAGGCAGTCAGTCCTCTGAGTGAAGCAGAGATGCTGGTAGGATGGTGGGGGGAGGAAGATCCCAGCCAGCTGGCTGCTGGGATGAGGGGAGATAAGATTAGAAGCAGGCAGCAGGGAATTTAGGGAGGAAGTTGAGGTTGGTTGACGGAGTCCAGGGTCCACCCCCTGGCCTAATCAAAGCAGGCTGTCAGTTAAGTACAAGGGAGAAAGCAGCATAAACAGTGATAGTGGAGATGTGGGCGATCCTTCTCAGACTAATAAGGATTATGCTCCCTCACCTCCAAATTTTCTGCCTGGTGCGGCTTCCTTAGTAAAGTAACAGCACTTGTTACTTCTTTAACACCTAAGGAAGAACCTGCATCTGCTGTGTAGTGGTGACTTGCTGATTAGGTGGGTGAAGGCGTGCTCAGAGGGTGCTTCGAGCCGAGCTGTGTATGTTTAACCACTCTCGAATTTTATTCAGTAGATCAGTGCTGGTTTTGGAGCCCAGAAGGCCACACATTTTGGGGGAAAAATTTTTTTAAAAAATGTGTGTGTGTATATACATACATATATACATACATACACACACATATATATAAAAATATGTGTGTGTATATATACATACACACACACACATATATACATACATACATACATAAACATATCCTTGGAGAAGGACATAATGTTTGGAAGGGTGGACAGACAGTGCAGGAGAGAGAGACCCCGAATGAGATGGATCGATACAGTAACAGGACCGATGGGGGTTGGTGTGTCAGAATTAATCAGACTGGCTCAGGACAGGAAGGGTTCAGAGCTGCTGTCTATAGGGTCACTATGCATCATAGGCGACTCAACCAATAACTTTCAATAACATGTTTGGAAGCAGGAGTAGCATCCACTTCCTAAATAACGTGCCTCTGGAAACTCTGAATTTTGATAAATGTTGATAGTTGTAGAGGGACTTCAGGCCTTTTGTTCATAGGGTCGCTATGAGTCGTGCTCGACTCGAAGGCAATCAACAATGTGTGTGTGTGTGTGTGTGTGTGTGTGTGTGTGTGTGTGGTTTAGTTGGGCTGCCAAGCCAAAGGCAAGTAGTTCAAATCTCCAGTCCCTCTGCAAGAGAAAGATGGGTAACATCCTCCCTTCTTTTACAATTTACAGCCCCCAAAACCCCAATGGAAGATTAGCTATGAGTCGAGTCCCACTCAGCAAGCACATTATACAGACACAGACATGCACGTACATTTTGCTACCGGAGCTGTAGTGCATTGTCTGTTGCTGTTAACTGAAAGATCAGCAGTTTGCATTCTCTTCCTATACATATTTACAGCCTCAGAATCTTGATGAAAGTGTGCTATGAGTTGGAATGAACTCAGTGGCTGTGTGTGTGTGTGTGTGTGTGTGTGTGTGTGTGTGTGTGTAAACACCACCACAGCTCCTAGTGGTATAGTCCTCTCAGTATAACCCACAGCAAGCCCTTATGTCCCTGGGGTTTCGAAACCACCAGTGGCTCTGAAGGGGAAAACTGGACAGTTATCTCCTGTTAAGATTTACCACCTGATGGAGGCTCAGCCATGAGTTGGAACTGACTCAGGGTGGTGAACGCGCACGCGCGCGCACTCACTCACTCACTCACACACACACACACACACACACACAGCCACCAGGGCTATCATGTGCCACACACATAACAACTATACTGATGATATCGTAGAATCATTGACAGATAATTCTTACAGAATATAGACTTGAGTATAATAGAGTGTAGAACATGAAGTCAGAAATAAAAGTAGAGCATTAGATTGGATTTCTTAAACTTTTTCAGCCTCCCCTACCCTATTCGACCTGTCAGTGTGCCGGGGTGGGTGGGTGGGTAATCCCAGCTCAGCTGGCAAAGCCTGCTCTTTCTGTACTTTTAATAGCGTTAAGCTGAAGATTATGAGGCCATCGTGTGAGGGGCCGGCCACCTTCTGCTCGGAGCTGGGGTAGGGTCTGCAGTAGCCAGGAGTGACCCTCTTGTCCTGTGCTTTCCAGAGTCTCCCTCTCCTGAGATGGGCCCTGAAGGAAACCCTGCATTTCAGGCTGTGGTTTTGACCCTTGGATGACAGTTCTGCAGCATAGCCGATTGCTGGAAGATGCTGCCGTGAACCATCTCACTCCCAGAAGAGCCAATTGCCCCGAGAAATCAACCATTTAATGCTAAGGTGGTGGGGTGGAGGTTGTTTTTTTTCTCCCCCTTCCTGGAAACATCTTATGTCCTAAATAAACAAAAGTACACACAGTGGAGCAAAAAGGGCACTTAAGCAAAAAGAATTTCTGACCTGAGGGCTTTGGATACCTTGGGGACCAGGGCCTCCCTCAGCCCTGGGTGCAGGTGATGGCTTCAGGGCAGTAGGCCTTCTGAGATTACAGGTCATTAGGCTGAAAAGATGCCCCTTCCCAGAAATAATGGCTTCTCACTGTCCTCTGAGAAGGCACCTCCTTGGAGGAGAATTTCAGGAGGCCTCCATTTCAGGGAATCGAACACTTGTCAACCTCTCCACATGGGCATCTATAGTCCATTGCTAGAGAGCTAGAACTGACTCCTCGCTGCCCCACCACCAGGTTTTTGGAGGCAGTAAATCTCACAGGAGGAGACTGCCCATCCTTCTCCCGCAGAGCGGAAACCAGAGCTGTCATGGACTCCAGCTTAATCTATTTAGGACATAGATATTTGGTGAGCGGTAAAGATCCAGACACAGCACTGGTAACACAATTTAACAGATGAGGAAGAAAGCTGGAGTCGAGGTCTGAGTAAGGGACAGGCCAGGCTCCCAACCCTGGGCGTTCTCACTCAAAAGCCTGGCACTCCATGCTGCCCACCAGCCATCTGTTCACTTGCTGCGTTCCCGTTGGTCTAGTAGACTGAGAGATAGGCCCCCATCTCCCTTCTTCCACATGTCAGGAAGGGAGCCGAGCGTCGGCCTCTAAAGAGTGCCATCCATCTCCTTGTTGATACTGTGGCTGTTGTGGGGTATTTTTTCAGCTTAGGGACCATCTGGAGCATTGGAAGAAACAGAAAAGCAGGGTCTTCCCAGGGACTGTACCAATCCGGTGCCCCAAGGTGAGCAGGGACTTACCTGGTATGCAGTCCAAGGAGGTGGCTCTCGACCACAGAGCGCTGGTGCCACCTTGGCAATCACACTTGCAAGCTTTATGGTACCAGGGGTCCTCGCCCTCATCCTGCGGGAACCCAGAGAGGCAGGAGTGTCAGAAAAAAGCACGTTCAGAGGTGTCTGTGGTCAGTACCACTGAGCAAGTTCAGTATCAGACCCTGGGATCATCTATCTAGTCTTAATGTTCATACACAGCAAGCCACTGCTGTCCATTCATGCCCAGCACAAAGCGGGCCTCTATCAGGGTTTCCAACGAGGCTGTAAAACTTTATGGGAGGAGAGAACCTGTCTTTTCTCGGTGAATTGGCTGGTGGTTTCAAACCGCTGAGCCTTTGATAAGCAGCCCAACACATAGCATTACACTACCAGGGCTTCTTCTGATATTCCTAGTTGTCATTTATCTTTGATTCTGAGCAAGCCCAGTTCAGCTGGTGACAGACACACCCCCTGACAGGGCAATGCTTACGTCATTACAGTAATCCAGAGCGGGCTGCTCCTTCATGCCCTGGAAGCTTCAATCTGGGTGTTCAAGTCTCAAGGGTACTAAGGAGTTCTAGTGGCCTGGTGGGGAAAGAATTGCACTGCCACCTAAAGGCACATGGTTTGGATCCACCTGCTGCTCTGTGGGAGAAAGATGGGCAGTCTCCTTCCATGCGATTTACAGCCTCTGGAAACCTGCTGGAGGGTCAGTTAGGAGTTGGAACATGACAACTGGAGCCAAGATTCCACCATCTGACTTGCTTTCATTCATTTACTTATTATTAAAATACCAATCTTTGTGATTGCCCAGAAAACATGATATTGTCACCACGAGACTTTTCTTAAAATTGCCTTCTTTGGGGGGGATATGTGATTAGGTATTATTGTCATGACAGGAGTCCAGAGTAAAGGCTGCATAGTGGAGTGGACTTGGGGGGAAGGGTTGCATAACAATCAAAGAGTTTTACTTTTCAAGGAGAGGAGTGAATTGGGAGAGAGGGTGTGGACAGGGAGAAAAGTGCCACAATGAATGAATGGAAACCCTAAGTCTCTGTAAACTTTCATTAAAATTAATTTTTAAAATGCCTTTTTTTGGGGGAGGAAATTGTGTAACAATGAAATGATTTCTTTTCAAAGAGAAAAGCAAACTAGAGGGGTGGGTAGGGAGGAAAATGTGCAACAATGAATGAATGGAAATCCGAGTTCTCTATAAACTTTCATTAAAATCTCAAGAAAAGATTTTTTTAAAAAAATGCTTTTGTGAAAAAATCAAATAAATCTCTCTCACACATCAATCAACTTACTGAAAGCTTTTGATCAAATCAAGTTATACATTCAGGTATTTTGGTATTGTAATATTTCCCCCTTTGATGATGAAAAAAAAATTTAAGTTTTAAAAAATTTTTAGAATTTCAAACCTCTTGCTAAAGCTTACAAAGCAGCCTGACGTTAATTTATCGCTGAGCTGCACATGTCATTGTGCTTCACAAATAGATTAAGTACTTTTCATTCCCCAAGAATGTGTGCAGGATGAGAAATGTATTTTTATTTCCTGTGTTTCTTAAGAAACAAATGGGGTAGATGAGTAATACTTAAATAGTCTTAAAATATCTGAAAATAAATGTTTCCTGCTTTTATTGTGAAACATCCAAACAAAACATGGGGGTGAGTATAAAGTGGTAAATGACAGCTCTGCCTTTGGTCCCCCAAATCTCTACCACACTTTAGGGTTGGCTGTGTTAACAGGCTGTAGATCCTGCAAGGCTGTCTTCTACTACACGTGCAAAAGCACAGTTCAGTGCAGCGGCTTGGTCGTAGGTAAGGACTTGCGCTGCCGACTCAAAGGCAGGCAATTCAAACGCAGTAGCTATCCTGAAGAAGAAAGATGGGCATTCTCCTCCCATGTGATTTACAGCCTCTGAAACCCCACTGGAGATTCAGCTGTGAGTCACTTCCATTTTGACAGCAATGAGTGAGTGAGAAACAACACACAGAGCCCATTTTCCCCCCACTCTTTTTCTTTCACTGACTGTATCTTGGACATACTTGCCTATGTATGCGTGGCTCTAGCTCTCATTGTAACAGTTCTGTCATTGTTAAAGCAGCAATGTTATTGAAGTGTATCACCTGCAATTTTTCCATGCATGTGTGCTGATTTCATATTACTGGGTTTAATAAAATAAATATTTGTGAGTTAGCAGCTAGAATGATACTTTCTGGTATACTTTCCTGTCATGTCTTCAGGAAAGAAAATTCACAGGTATAGATGAAACATTGAACATTTCAGAATGTCTTACATTTCCATCTATCTTTTCTAATAAAAACTTGGGACCAGAAAAAAAAATTTTTTTTGAAAAAAAGTTACCTTAGAAATGATTTTGGTCTAGGAAAAGGAAAATCTCCCGAAACTGTCTCCTTTTTCCCCCACTTTTGTTTTGTTTTATTTAAATTTATTATTAATTTCAGTAAAAATGTACAGAGACTTTGGATTTCCATTCATGCATTGTTGTACTTTTCTCCCCTCCCACCCCTCCCCTCTAGTACACTACCCTCTTGGAAAAGTAAAAGAAAAATTCTTTCATTGTTTTACAAACCCTCCCCCAGGTCCACTCCACCATGTAGCTTTCACTCTGTCATGACAAAAATACCTAATCACATATCCCTTTTAAACAGTTTTCTCCCTCATCTGTTTCAATGCAGTATACATTATTGAACCCATCTTTCTCAGTCTCTCCCCAACCCCAAGGTCAGTCCTGTTTTACAACAGTGGCACCATGCAGTATTTGTCCTTTTGTGACTGAGGTACTTCACTCAGCATAATGTTCTCCAGAGTCACCCATTTTGAATAATATTGCATGAGCTCTGTTTTTCAGTGCACCATAGTATTCCATTGTGTGAACATACCACAGCTTCTCTATCCATTCATTTGTTGATGGGCACTTAGGTTGTTTCCAACTCCTTGCTATTGTGAACAAAGCCGCAATAAACATGGGTGTGCATTTATCTGCTTGGATGTCAGTTATGGTCTCTTTGGGGTATATTCTCAGTAGTGGAATTGCTGGGTCAAATGGTATCTCTGTTTGCAACTTTTTGAGAAAGCCCAAACCGCCTTCTACAGTGGTTGCACCAGAAACTGTCTCTTTCTTACTGTCACATACCTCAGTCGATGATAATCCCAGAGTGGCTGAGCAAAGGAGCAAGAGAGAGAGAAAATCAAGTTAAAATAAAGAAAAGGAACCTCAACAAAGGAATTCATTATACAGAACGAGGAAAGGAAAACAGCCTCATGAAAGTTAACAAAACTCCTTCCTGGAAGACATCAAGCTAAGTAAATATCTGCCAGGAAAAACAGCACAGATGTTGAGAAACCAGAGAGAGTAAAATGCACAAAGAACAGGATGATAGTTATTATTCTTGCTCATTATAGAATTTTGCTAAAGTTCACTAAAATAGCGGAGAGGAACTGTATTTCTTTCCCCTCCACCCCATATATAATTTATTTTCATTTTTTGTGGATGCGTTCAGAAACTGTATTTCTTAACACCCAGTGGCAACACTGCTAACATTTTGCTGTAAATATTTCCGGTCTTTTTTCTATGCGTTTTAAATATATTTGAGAACCTAATATGTAAACGATTGTGTACATGCAGTCCTGGCTACAGATGTTCCATTTATGGACAATTCCTATTTGCTCTTTAATGTTAAGTAATTTGCCCTCACTTTGCAACAGTTGAGTTCACCCGTCCTCACACCTTTGCTTGCTGCACCTGTAGCTTTTAAATCATTTTTGTCAATGTCCTAAAAGAAAATGTGTATGAATTGGAAAGTTATTTTGCTTTGTAAACTTTTACTCAGATCACAGCTTAAAAAAAAATAGACAAGAATTGGTTGTGGGATCTGCAAACCAAAGCAGTCTTAATAAAGATGAAAGGAAATAAAATATCTAAACATAAAATATAAAGTATCTAAAGGCTTTGGGTTTTTTTTCCTCATACCATCCAGCCAAAACCCACTGCCCTGGAATTAGTTCCAACTCATAGAAACCCTGTAGGATAGAGTGGAACTGCTTCATAGGATGCGTTAGTGGGTAAAGAACTGTGTAGCGAACACAAAGGCAAGCGGTTCAAATCCACCAAGCTGCTCTGTGGGAGAAAGAGTAACAACATCCTCTGAAAACCCACTGGAGGATCAGCTATGAACCAGTTCTGTCTCAATAGCTCATAACAACAACAGCAACAAAGGCTTTATGGAAACAGGCTGCCATATTTCTCCTTCATGGTGGCTACTGAGTTTGGACTCCACTAGTTAGCAAGGGAACACTTTAGCCGCCTGCCACCAATGCTCTTTTCTTTTTTTAAAATTATTATTATTAATTGGTTTATGATTATTAATTTTAATGAAAATTTAGATATTTTGGATTTCCATTCATTCATTGTTGCGTTTTCTCCCTGCCCACCCCTCCCCTCCAGCTCGTTCTTCTCTTTGAAAATTAAAAGAAAAATTCTTTCATTGTTATACAATCCCTCCCCCCAAGTCCACTCCACTAGGCAGCCTTCATTCTGGACTCCTGTCATGACAATGATACCCAATCATATATCCCTTTTAAACAGTTCTCTCCCTCAGCTGCTTCAATGCAGTATGCATAATTTATCCCATCTTTCTCAGTCTCCCCCATCCCCAATGTCAGTCCTGTTTTACAACAGTGGCACCATGCAGTATTTGTCCTTTTGTGACTGAGATACTTCCCTCAGCATAATGTCCTCCAGGGTCACCCATTTTGAATAATATTGAGTGAGTGCCTTGATTTTCAATGCAACATAGTATTCCATTGTCTGACTGACTATACCACAGCTTCTCTTGTCCATTTGTTTGTTGATGGGACCTTGGGTTGTTTCCAACTCTTTTTTATTGTGAACAAAGCCACGATAAACATGGATGTACATATATCTGCTTGGATGGCAGTTGTGGTTTCTTTGGGGTATATTCCCAGTAGTGGGTCAAACGATATTTCTGTTTACAACTTTTTGAGAAAGCACCAAACAGCCTACACCATACATCACACACAGTGGCTGCACTATTTTACACTCTCACCAACAGTAAATAAGGGTTCCAATTTCTCTGCAGCCTCGCCAGCATTTGTTGTTTGCTGTTCTGTTAATTTTTGCTCCTCTTACTTGGGTGAGATGATATCTCATAGTTGTTTTGATTTACATCTCTCTTAGAGCTAGGGATTTTGAACATTTCTTCATGTGTTTCTTTGCCATCTGAATGTCTTCTTTGGTGAAGTGTCTGTTCAAACCCTGGGCTCATTTTTTGATTGAGTTGTTTACCTTTATCTTGTTGTGCTGCTCAAGTATTTTATAAATTCTAGATATAAGTTCCTTATCTGACATGTATTACCAAGTACTTTTCCCCAGTCTGTGGCTTCCCTTTTTACCCTATTGGAGAAGTTTTTGGATGTGCATAGGGATTTTATTCTTAGAAGGTCCCATTCATCTATTTTATGCTCTCCTGGTTGTTGATTTTTCAGGATGCTTGGAAGACTCTTTATGTTGTGGATTAGGACTTCTAGAGCTCTTCCAAGCTTTTCTTTAATCAGGTTTATAGTCCTTGGTTTTAGTCCTCTGTCCATGATCCACCTTGAGTTGGTTTTTGTGTATGGAGTGCTCCTTTCTTGGACTTACCAGAACAAACAACAATGTGCCCCTCCCCGAAAAAGAATAAAACCCAACCAGATCCACTGCTCTCAATTTCTTTCCAAGTGGCAACCCTCCATTGAGTTTGTGAGGCTGCAGATCCTTATAGAAGATGGCCCATCTTTTCGTGCAGAGCATCTAGTGGATTTGAACCACTGACCTTTCAGTTAACAGACCAACACACCAGGACCTTTCTTCCTTCTCTCAAGGAAAAGTTAGGTAGGATCTGTGTATGCCTAGTCTCATTTATGTGCAAATTCTTGAAGATGCAGGAGTCAATCTCGTTCCTAACCCTTGGACTGCTTGTATCTTGTTGTTGTTGTTGTTTTTCCTCTTCCACTGTTGTGTACCGTCGAATCAGATCCAACTGGCACAGGAAGAGATTGCCCCTCCTTCTCCAGTGGAGCATCTGGTGGATTCATACCTCACGCCTTCAGGATTGCAGTGCAGCTTCTTGCCACTAGGCCACCAGAACTCCCTTCTTGCTTTCTTTGCACGCTTGATATTTTCCATTCCAATTTTTCCTTTTACTTACTAGTTCTTTTTTATGTTTAGATACTTTATTTCCCTTCCTCTTTATTAAAACTGCTTTGTTCTGTAGATCCTAAAACCAATTGTCAATTTCTTTTTTATTATTATGATTTGAGTGAAAGTTTTAAAAGCAAATTAATTTTCCGTTCACCAATTTACACACATTTTCTCTTATGACATTAATTACAATGTTGTTGTTGTTGTTAAGTGCCGTTGAATCATAGATAACTCATAGCTACCCAATGAACGAAAGACTTGAACACTTGCGTAACTGTTGTCATTTCTCCACAGTCATAGAGTTTCCAGACTCAAGCTATTTCAGAAGTGGATGCCACTCCTGCCTCTAAGCTTGTTTGAATCGGAGAGCTCCACCAAACACTGTCCACCATGGGTAATCATTATCGCATTTGGCACATCAGTGTGACAGTGATCACAGCATCACAGGAACCATGAGTCACCTCTGTACAGCAAATGGATAGACCAGTGCTATACCACTTAGAAGAATGTTTGACAATTAAAGCCAGGCCTGAGAGCTGCAGATTAAAATTGCCCACCTTGGGCTTGGTAGTATCACTCTCTAACCATAAAGTCAACAGAGCTTTCTCTATGACCAGTGTCTTCCCACCTCCTCCCTATGATTCTTTGTTTCCATTAATCCCTTTCTACCTTCTGAGTTTTATCCCTGAACAAATGCTACCCTTTTGATCTTGTATGGTTGATTGCTCTAAGATTGTTTGAGTGTATAGTTGATTGTGTGGTGATTGTATGGTAATTGATTGTCTGGTTGATTGTGAAGTGATTATATGGTGTTATATGGTGATTGTGTGGTGATTACATGGTGTATGATGATTGTATAGTGATTATATGGCATATGGTGATTGTGTGGTGTTCAGTGTTGACTATGTGGTGTTGTATGGTGATTGTGTGGTTGACTGCTCTAAGTCTTGAGTACCTCCCTGGAGGTACTTATAGGCGAAGAATAGGACAGGATTTTGTTTTATGGTACATAAATTGGGCACCCACCAACAACAGCATTGTTTGTCTGCAAGTTGAGTCACAGGGATCATTAACTCTTCATCCTAAACCCAAAGATATACCTGCTGCGCTAATTAGGAGTTAATCCTCTGTTGACGTAACAGTTCCCTGATGCTGCTATAATACAAATACCAGAAGTAGGTGACTTTACCCAACATAAATTTATTCTCTCCCAGTGTGAGAATCTGGGCACTAGCTCCAGGGGAAGGCTTTCTCTCAGGATGGGCCTGGTGCTCTCCTGGCTCCCTAGAGATCTTCACTAAGGCTCGCAGCTCTCTTCCCCCAGCTCTGCTCTCCTCTTGACGCCTAATCTGCACCTCTTACCTCTCAAAAGATAGATACTGACTCAGACACTCAGACATACATCCTACAGTCACTCGCCTGCTGCCTGCCGCATTAACCTATCAAAACCCATTCCCCAATGTGATTAGAACCTCTGGTATAAAGACAACACTGCAGCCCAGTCAATCCTGACTCACAAAGACCTTCTAGGGCAAAGCACAACTACCTAGGGCTTCCAAGTTTGTGGGTCCTGTAGAATGGCTGGTGGATTCAAGCAGCTGACCTCTCAGTTCACCGGCCACGCTCTGAATCAGGCACCAGTGGGGCTCCTTTCAAATTGTTGTTGTTGTTATGTGCCGTCGAGTTGCTTGCGACTCATAGCGATCCTATGTACAACAGCTCTAAACTCCGCTCTGTCCTGTGCCAATTGTACCATCTCTGACACTCCCATCCCAATTATCCCAGTCACTGAATCAGTCCACCTCACAGAGGGCCTTCTTCTCCTGCGCTGTCCCTCCACCCTCCCAAGCATGATGTCCCTCTCCAAGGACTGGTCTAAAACTCAAAACCAAACCCAGGTGGTTCTGACACCCAGCAACACTGCGTCAGGTTGTTGAGGCTGTAAATCTTAGCAGCAGGAGACTGTCCATTATCCTCTTGCAGGGCAGCAGCTGCATTTGAACTGTCAACCTTTCAGTTAACCTGATACGTGGCTCACTCTGTCACTATGGCTCCTTTCCTGGTCCTCCTCTCTCTTTCCTGGTTTCTTATTCCACAGGGATAGGGGTAAGGATTTACAACCCACTTTGGGGAAAGATCATTCAGTCCACAACAGTAGCCATTCCTCCACTGTGGAACTTGGGCTTAGGGCATTGTTGAGAAATAAGGATTGTTTTAGATTTATATCCTGTATACAGGGAATAAGCAACCACAATCAATAGATAAATCATATATAAGCAATGTGGGAGAATTGGAAGTGTGGCTTGTGCTGCTCACCAGTCACATTTCAGGTGCTTAGCAGCCACGTGAGGCTAGCTGCCTCTGGGACAGCACTGATACAGAACAGCCCCAATGTTGCCAGAAGTTCCATGGGACAGAGCTGGTTTAAGGGCATGCTCAGGAAATTAAAAGACGAATTGCATTAGCAAAGTCTGCTGTCAGAGACCTGTCCAGAGTACTGAAGAGCAATGATGTCAGTCTGGTGACTAAGGTGTGCCTGAAACCGACCATGGTCTATTGCAATTGCTTGCTATGCATCAGAAAGCTGAGCAATGACTAGAGATGATAGAAGGAGAATTGATGCTTTTGAGCTTTGGTGCTGGAGAAGAGTATTGAATATACCATGGACTGCTAGGAGAACAAACACGTTCATCCTGGAGAGGGTGAAACCAGGTTGCTTCTTGGAGGCAAGGATTCTTAGGCGTCATCTGACACACTTTGGACATGGTGGGACCAGTCTTTGGAGAGGGACGTCATGCTTGGGAAGGTGGAGGGACAGTGCAAGAGAGGAAGACCCTCAATGAGATGGATTGATTCAGTGACTGGGGTAATGGGGGTAGGTGTATCAGAGATAATAAGAATGGCCCAGCATAGAGCAGGGTTTAGGGCTGTTGTACATAGGGTCGCTATGTGTTACAGGAGACTCGACGGCACATAACAAAAGCAACCAAAGTCTAGTGGCCATTTTCTAAAATACAAGTACCTTTATTTCTTGGCTCCTTATAAAAGTAAAGCAGTGCTGGGAAAATTTGGGAACAGATAAGGATGATGGTAGATTAACATGGTAGATGTAATGCATGTCAGTGAGTCCTATCTGTGAAAACTGTTAAAAAGGCAAATGTTTTGTTAGATGTTTGTATATTTACCGTTGCTCTTTTCATACAGTACCTTCTTGGTCTAGGTATAATTTTTTGCATGAGCAAAGTTATGTGTTCTGGGATTCCTGTTCCTCTCAGCGTTATCCATAATTTTTTTTCTTCCATCAACACAGTCAAACACTTTTGCATAGTCAACAACCTATATTTTACCACAAGAAAAAGATTAAAGGGAAAAAAGCAGCATAGACTTAATGTAAATTTTCCAGACAAGCTGAACATAAACCACAAAGGGAACCAACCCCACTTGCTATCCATTCAGTTCCCACTCATAGCAACCTTTTGTTGTTGTTATCTACCATTGAGTCTAAACTGACTCATAGCTGACCCTCCAGTGGTTTTTCAGAGGCTGTAAGTCGCACAGGAGGAGACTGCTCATCTTTCTCTCATACAGCAGCTGGTGGCTTCGAACTACATGCCTTTGAGTTGGCAGTGAACTTCGTGCCACTAAGTAACCAAAGCTCCCTAGCAGCCCTATGATGTTGCTGTTAGATACAGTCAAGCTGAGTATGACTCATAGTGACCCTGTGAACAGCAGGTCTGCACCTCGTCCTCCCTTGGGCCATCCTCACCATCTCTGATACACTCGAGCCCATTGTTCCAGTCACTGTGTCAATCTGTCTTGTTGAGGAACTTCCTCTATTACATCCACACTCCACTTTTCCAAGCATGATGTCTTTTCCAAGGACGGGCCCCTCCTAATATCATGCCCAAAGAATGTAAGGCATTTCACCATTCTTGCCTCCAAGGAGCACTCTGGTGACACTTGCTTAAAGACAGACTTGGTTCTCTTGGCAGCCCGTGGGATATTCAGTACTCTTCTCCAACACCACAACTCAAAGCATTGCTGCTGCTTCTGTCATCCTTAGTCATTGTCCAACTTCCAGATGCAGAGCAAGTAATAAAAAAGACCATGACTTGGATCAGGTGCACCTTAGTCTTTAAACTCACATGATTTCTCTTTAGCACTTTGGAGAGATCCCAGACAGCAAATTTCTCCAGTGCAATATGTCTTTTGGTTTTCTGACTGCTAGGACCAAAGTGTTGATTGTGGATCCAAGTAAGAGGGAACTGTTGATAATTTTAGTCTATTATGATGCAGCCTATTGGCCCAGAAGTGAAGCCTGAGTAAATCTTTTTGGAAGATGTTCAAGGTTATAAATTTTTACGGAAGCAGACTAATTTTCCTCCTGTGGCACAGCTGGTAGTTTTAAACCATCAACTCTTTGGTCAACCAATGTTTTAACCACTATGCCAACAGAGTATAGAAAGGAGGTGGTAACACTTCCCCTCTTTAAAAAAAATTTTATTTTGTATGTGTACCATCAAATCAGGTCTGACTGGTACAGGAGGAGATTGCCCCTCCTTCTCCAGCAGAGCATCTGGTGAATTTGAACTTTGTGCCTCTGGGATTGCAGAGCAGGTTCTTGCCACTAGGCCACCAGAGCCCCCTTAACACTTTTCCTTCTTAAGAATTTAGGGAGCTCTGGTGGCTTAATGGAGAGAAGCTATGCTAACCAACCCAAAGGCACAAGGTTTGAACCCACCAGCTGCTCTGTGGGAGAATGATTGACAGTCTCCTGTGCGATTTACTCCCTCTGAAAACCTGCTAGAGGGTCAGCTGTGGGTTGTTTCGGACTCAAAGACCCACAACACCAACACACCCTCTGGTAGGGATTGAATTCTAACCCCCAGTGGCATGTGTTATAAATCCTTACCCCTAAACCTGTGCTTAGGATTCCGTTTGGGAAGGCATTTTCTTTGTTATGTTAATTCGGCAGGCAGTATTAGTCAATCTCTCTCTGTCTTTTTCTTTTTGTTTTTAAATAAAAAGAGCAGACTGTGCAAGCAAACAGTCACAGATGGTGGAAGATAGAGGCTCCATCACATGAGATCTCCCAGGAAGCTGAAAAGAGCCGAGGACCCTCCCCTATAGTCAATACACAGACTGCCACACCTTCCTCCTACACAGAGCCAGTACCCTGATTTTGGACTTTTAGGGAGCTTTGATGGCTTAGTGGCAAGAAACTGTGCTGCAATCCCTGGATTGCACGCAGTTCGGATCTCACCAGCTGCTCCAGCTTCTGAAAACCCCCCACAGGGTCAGCTATGGGTTCCGACTCCATGGTACACAACAACAACAACCGCCTCCTGGGGGCAGGAAATCCTCACCACTGGGTTAATAGGCAACAACATGATAGATGGAGAAAAGATTGAAATTGTCAGTGATTCCATTTTATCTGAATCTCCAGTCAACACCCTTTCCACCAGGATTCAGGAGTACTGTAGATCAGGAGATGTATGTTGTTGCTGTTGTGATGTGCCGTGGAGTCGTTTGCGACTCATAGCGACCCTGTATACAACAGCCCTAAACCCTGCTCTATCCTGTGCCAATCACACTGTCTCCGATACACCCATCCCGATTACCCCAGTCACTGAATCAGTCCACCTCGTAGAGGGTCTTCCCCCCCTACGCTGTCCCTCCACCCTACCAAGCATGATGTCCCTCTCCAAGGACCTGTCTCTCCTCACAACATGTCCAAAGTATGTCAGACGAAGCCCCAGAATCCTTGCCTCCAAGGAGTAGCCTGGTTTAACCCTCTCCAGGATGAATCTGTTTGTTTTCCTGGCAGTCCATGGTACGTTCAGTACCCTTCTCCAGCACCACAGCTCAAAGGCATCAATTCTCCTTCTAGCCTCCCTAGTCATTGTCATGCATAACAAATGATTGCAAAGGCCATGACCTGTATCAGGTGCACCTTAGTCTCCAGAGAGACACCATTGCTCTTTAATACTTTAGAGAGGTCTCTAACAGCAGGCTTTCCCATCGCAATATGTTTTTTTATTTCCTGACTGTTGGTCCCAAGAGTGTTGACCGTGGAGCTGAGCAAACTGAAGCTGTGAACAATCTCAATCTCTTCGCCATCCATCCTGACGCTGCCAATTGGTCCAGTGGTGAGAATCTTTGTCTTCTTGACATTGAGCCTCAGTCCATACTGAAGGCTGCAGTCCTTGACCCTCTGCAGCAAGTGCAGGAGGTCCTCCTCAGTTTCAGCAAGCAGGGTTGTGTCATCTGCGTAACGCAGATTGTTAATAGATCTTCCACCAATCCTGACGCCGCACATCTTACAGAGCCCAGCCTCTCCGTTGAAAAGGTATGGAGACAGAACACATCCCTGGCGTACACTCTTCCCAATTTTGGACCATGCGGTGTTAACCTTGCTCTGTTCTGACTACTGCCTCTTGGTCCAAGTATAGG